CAGGACAGCCGAGAGCTGGGTGGGTGCTGTGGCTCCTCCGGGGGGAGATGGGCCTTTGGCTGCTGAGCCGCCCCCGCAGGCTGTGGGTTTCCAGGACAAAAGGCCTGAGGAGCGGTTGCGTGGGGCCAGGTCGGTGGGCAGGGGCTGGGGACTGGGTCTGGCAGGGAGGGCGAAGCTGGGTGCAGAGTGAGGGTGGGTGGGAGCTGGGAGTAGCCCTTGCACAGGGATCGCCTGTGCCGATACCCCATGGGAGGGGAGGTAACAGCCATGCCAAGGTGTCCCTGGGAGCACGTCAGCCCTGGCGCGGACCCCACTGCTGGGGACCCACCGTGGAACAACCCCCGTGTTCCCAGGGTGCTGCAGGGGATGGAGCAGTGGGGATGGAGCAGGATTTTGTGATACTGCGCCCATTTTGCTTTTGAAGTCAGCTCTGGCCCAAAGTCACTTCCAGGTCCCCCCAGAGTCATCCTAAAACTAACACAAGCAAAGGGTGACACCCTTTGGCGCAGGCTGCCAGCCAAGGTGGTGGGCAAGGAAGGCAGTGGGCAGGGAAGCCCCTGTGCTTTGAGACTGAGCCCTTGGAGGAAACCTTAGGACCAGCTTTGAATGCAAAATATGAATCCAGTGGAACCTCTTGTTGCAATGCATCCCCCACCTCCACATTTCTTTCCACCATTTAGGGGATGATGAAGCCAGTGCTCCCCGTGCCATGCTCAGGTCGCTGTCCTGACGCCCCTTCTGCCCTGGGAGCATGAGGGGTTCTAGGTCTGAATAAAGCAAAAAGGGACATTTTGGCCATTCCAGGGCTTTGCCACCCCAAGACATGTCTCTAGTGGGAAGTCCATGGAAAGGGCCCCTTTGCTGAGGGCAGAGGGCCTGACGGGTCGGTCACATACCCACCACTGGGCAGTTTTTGGGGGGCTGCTGTGCCGGGGAGGATCTCCAGGTCGCAGTGGTGTGTGTCTGACTTCAAGGACTTGACCTGGTTACAGGAGCAGCCGCCCGTCCTTTGTCTTTGCCAAGTCCTTGCTGCGGCCGGGTTCTCTTTTAACAGC